GCCGGCGCCGACCGCGAGACTCATCAGGCTGCTCCCCTCTTGCAGCGACCCCGACAACGTCGCGTTCTGTGTGCTGGCCGCGGATCAGGAGGACGAGGGGGATATCGCCTTGCAGATCCACTTCACTCTGATCCAAGCCTTTTGCTGCGAGAACGACATCGACATCGTGCGGGTGAACGACGTGGCCAAGCTGGCGGCCATCGTGGGGCCCAGCGAGGACTCGGGGGAGCCGCGCGATCTGCACTGCATCCTCATCACGGTGGGTGTCCCGGGCGGCCGGCGGGCCCTGCTCCGCTGCGGGTGGGCGAGTCCTCTGCCGGGCACAGACAGAGCGCTTGGCACGCAGCGAGTCAGCTGAGTAGTAGTTGTAGGAGGAGGAGGCAGAACTTCTCGTAACTGGATTTCCTCCGCTGTCCGCAAGGGCAGCATCTCTGCTTCCTGTCTTGTCTGTGTCAGGACAGAAACTGTCTGGAAGTGCTTCCAGTCCTAAGCTAATGCTTCTGTAAATATTATGATGACCTCAGCTGGCGGGCAGCACTCATGGTGTGCAACTTTTTTCTTTTTTGCAGAACCCGAATGAAGAAGGCTGGAAGGACCCAGCTCTGGAGAAGCTGAACTTGTTTTGCGAAGAGAGCAGGAATGTCAATGACTGGGTGCCAACTATCACCCTACCTGAGTGACGGTCACCTGGTGCACTGGGGAGGCTGAAATCTTTGTTGCATTCTCAACGTGCTGTGCGTTCACCAAAATGTGCAACAAGCTGCTGATTCCATGGATTAGCCTGGTCAAGAGACTGGATTAAAGTCCCTCAGACTGGCATGCAGTGGGCTCTTACAGAGGAGACAGAGGAAAACAGCTCACCTCACCAGTGAGCCTCAGCAGGCTGCAACCGTGGAGAGGCTGACATACCATGGAACTGAAAGAAGTATTGCAAGTTTGGCTGTGTGGAGCTGTTTCAGAAGGGAGAGGGAAAGTTGAGGGAAGTGGGCCAAAACTTTCCAGAAGGACTGATTAGAGTACTGTAACTAGGAACTGTTGGTGCTGTCTGCAAAACACAGGAGAAAGTATCAATATTTATGGAGTATTGGGGATTGGTTATTAAAACAAATGCAGATATTCCAAAGCAGACAGACTTCAACAGGCCTCTTGGGTCACTCTGCAGATCTGTTTTAATACTGCAATAACTTTTATTGAAATATTTGCTGCTATTGAAGCTTTCATAATAAATTTTTGACAATTAATCTCTGGGAGTGTCTTGCTTGCTGGGTGTGGGGAAGCATGTCACTGAAATATTGCTGATGTTTTGCTTGTATGCTGTAGTCAAAGATCTAACTCCAGTAATGGAGTTATTGCTCAAATACTTTACTGGGCTGGCTGAATGAAGTGCTGTGCTGTCCAAGTTGATAATTCAACCTTTTACCCTCTTGCAACAGCTGCTTATCGCAACAGCTTGCAAGATGAGGGAGTCGCATGCCTAATGAGCTCACTTATTGTAATAGGAGGTCTTTGTAGTCTGCTGGAGGAACACAATGCATGTTAGAAACATGGATTTTTGGAATACAGACCTCCAGTAAATTGCATCATTGATTCTTAAATATGACTTAGATGCATTCAGAGCTGACGTGTTTCCACTTGACAGAACCGGCTTAAACATGATGGGGGGGCTGCAAAACTCCTTAGATGTCAAGCACATCTAACATTTGCTTTGATTAGAATGACATCATTAAATCTAAAACTAGCAAATGGTGAATAAACATCACATCTGCCACAAGCTGCTCTCTGATTGCCATATGCTGTAACAATAGAAGCTGTCAGTCCAGAAGCCAATTTTGCAAAACCTAATTGCATGACAACACCAAATTAAGTCCAAAACAATTTAAGGATGGTGTGGCCTTTTTTAGAGATTCTGTCTTGAAAAGTTAATATGGGTGGGTTGATTTGGCCCTATGTTAAAAGGGAAAACATCACCCCATTTTTGTGCACAAACTATGCATGTGCTCCAGGACCTGACATTAAAATGGCACAGTAATAATCCCCTCTCCACAGAGCAAGAAAGCCAAACTACTTACTTCCTTTATAGGCACTAAAACCACTCAGTTATCACAATTGCATTTCCTCTGGGCTGGCTTGCAGTGATTGACAGTAGCACTTGCTGAAAAGTGGTCCATTTCCACTTGAGCAAGGAAGCTGCTTGCTCTCAGTTTCATTGTTCCTGATAAGGGAAGTTCAAATTCAGCTGCAGCATTCCTGGAATATGCTTCCTTGTACAGGCGGTATCTAGCAGAGTTTGGCCTTTGTTACTGTGTCATGAGAGGCTGGGGCTGGCAGCATAACCAGAGCTTAGACCGAAGTAAGCACTATGGGGGCCTCAGACCTCTGCAAGTATTCGCTTTTGCACTTAAGATACAGGAGTTTCTGAACAGCCTGTTTTTCTGCTTAACCCGCACTCAGCAACTGGTGTCTGTCTAGGACTTTGAGAAAAGTCACATGGAGAAGCAAGAGAATAAACAACTCTGGCAGCTGTGATAACAGAAACTGCCTTTAAGGCAGTGGCCTTGATGCACAGAACATATCAAGTGTGGGTGCTTTATTAGACATTTTTATATTTTTCTCTAAGCAAATGCAGATTTCTTCATTTTACAGCCAAGAAACATATTTCTGCTCTTTGCTTGGGGCCTAATCAGTACTCAGAGCCAAGAACAGATTAAAGTGGACTGTCCTGAATTCAACTTTCATGTGAAGTGTAAGCAGTACTTTACAGCCTTGAGTGGTTTAAACGAGCCTGAGAAGACTAAAGGAAATTCTCACGCATGTGTACAATTACATAAATCATTAAATGATAGTAGAGAATGGGTGTAACTGGTCTGTTGACTGAGACAGGAGGTATTGATAGTGGTACCAGGTACCAGCTTTTATGGAAGGAGTGTACTGTGCAGCAAACAATGAAATTAGTGGGGCAACACCAAAATACTCTTGTGAGGATGTTTCCTCTATTCTCATAAAAGATGGGATGGCGACCTTCTCCTTCAGCTTTGTGAAACTATAATCTGTGCCCATTAGAGGTACACAATTTCTTATTTTACTGACCTCTACAATTCTCCTGAAATCCCTTATTGATCACTGCAAATAATGTAATGCATTACTGTAATGCAAATTGTACAAAATCGAGTTAGCCTGCAAGAGTTATTAATACAGTGCTGCCACCAAAGGCAGCTCTGACGTGCAAGTTATGTGCTGCTGCAAGTATCTGTAATGATCAACACTACTTAATGTAGCAAAAATTCAGCAGCTGGTATCTCCATCTCTACATGCTCAGATATATAACTGCACAAAGAGCACTATACATTTATTAAAGATGGAGAGGAGGCTTGGGTACTATGGGCTGTAGTGGGGACAGCTGGTCGGGAGGTGGTTGGCTCATCACATGTGGAGGATATTTTGTCAAGCACCTGGGAGATCTGGAGGTTGCAACACTGGTTTCTTGTGTCTGTGAGCAATATGCCCTGAGTACTTTGCCTTCCCAGAAAACAGAAGTACGCAGGAGAGAGGCACTGTGGGTTTCCAGAACCACTGGGAGCTCTGCCAAGGTGCCCCCCTCCCAGCTGTGTTGCATAGTCTGCACAGGCTGGCTTGTGCTCTGCCATGGTGGCCCTGCCAGGGGGCTCTGGGGAGGAGACTGATGTTATTAGATGTTAATAATAAAGGTGGTTCTTCAGGACACAATCAGCTGAGGGATGTGGCAAAGGTGCAGGGCGTGGAGTGGAGTTACAGATTGATGGTGCTTCTGGCTTTACTTTCCTTCAGGATCTTCACTTGTGTTCTACTAGGTGATAAACTGTGTATTTCAATATTGTCATCATAGCTTTGATGTTGTGCTAACCACATTTCTAGGTCCAGCTTTTAATGAAGTGATGCATAAAGTTTAATTTCAATTTTTCTGAGCAATAACTTTGCATTTTTTCTGTGTATCTATTTCTAATTGTAACGACTGACAGGAATTTCCCTTCATATGTGGTTTCCTTCTCTTAATGGTGTTTTCTTCCTGTTACACTTCTGTGCATCTCTTTACCTTTCTCTCATTGTGGTTATAGATAGTTATCTCTTCAGATGCCTGACAGTTTTACTTTGTGCTATATTAACTGCATTATCCTCTTATCAGGATATATGTATGAATACTGGCATGCAGTTGTTGTAAACAATGCTTCCTCTTTTCCTGTGGAGTAGAAAATGCAAAAAGGAAGATAATAAAGGGAATATTATGAAGAGGAAGGCAAACTACTTAATGAAATAAAGTTTGCATGAAGTCTGTGCATATGCTGGATGATATAAACAGTGTTCACAGCTGTGGATGCTCAGGGAAGCAGCTTAGATTTCTGCACACTGGTGAAGTTTTAGTTTTATGTGGAGGCTGTTTGAAATAATGTGTGTTCAGTAAGGAGAAGGTCTTTGCAAAATTGCTAGTGCCAGGAAATGCCATAGCACTGCTGTCTGGCACACAAGGGAGACCTGGCTCCTCTCAACAAATGTATTAATGCCAGCTCTCAGATCCCCTGACATCAGGAGGAGAGAGCAGTGTGTGCCTGTGGTAAAACAAAGCAAGTGTGCAGGCAGTACCTTACAAGTGGAAGCAAATGCCATCACACTTGTGTGCAAGAGAGATGTGTGGAGAAGGCTGTGTGACCGTTGTATTCCTTGTAGGGTACACATTGTGGACAGCTGGGCTCATGACTATGGTCCACAAGCCTTCATTCCCTGCACAGCGGCAGCGGCAGAGCCCAGGGCTGGCAGAGGGATGGAGCTGGACAGGCAGGACATACACCCCACCAGAGCTATTCTTTCCACAGGTTTTATGAAGACTGCTTTTCATTCCTGCTTATTCCTTATCCATTTCGTCATGGCAGCTGTGATTTACTCACTCAGTAAAGTCCAAAAATGCAACAATAGGATATTGAAAAAGCTGCATTACTACTTCTTGTAAAATTATTTCATACTGAATGAGTGAATACTTGTATTATTCTGCATTGTTCTGCAATAAGATAGCATTATACACAATATTCTGATTATTGGAATGTATGTGAAATATTGATTTGAATGTATCAGTATCTTTAAAAGTATAGTCAGATCCCATACATCATAGGTACAGTGGTTATAGTATCTCCTCCAGTCTTCCATTGCACTGGCATATGATCATTTTGCCATGCTTATTTTCTTTTCATGCCTGAAAATAATACAAATTTATTTCCTTCTGTTATTTCCTTCTCTGTGTCAGCTCTCTGTAGAGCTGACTTTACTTTGAAATTATGACTTTGCAATATTAGTATCAACACACACTGCTAATTCAAAATTAATTTGTTCAACTGGTTTTTTGTGTTGGTTTTTTGGGGTTTGGTTTGGTTGGTCGGTCGGTTGCTTTTCTCCCTGGGATTGGAGACATAGCTATAGAAAATAACATGAAGTTTATTTCTGTTTTTATATTGCCTCTGAGCTACTACTGGCAAGAAAAAAAGCTATCTTTTTTGAATATTATTTTGACAAAAGCTGTTATAACCCTTGTAGGAATTTCCATTGCAGAATTGATAAAATTTAACAAAGAACATATAATATGGATTGTAATATCACAAGGGGTTTCTGTCCCATTCGGCCTTGAATTAAAGTATTCTCAGAGTGGGGAATTTGAGTTTTGCTTCCTATTCCCATTTTAGGGGTATCTAATCTGAAGCAACATAGCTTTCACATCCTATTGAAGCCAGCATGAAGCAACGGTGCTTAGTGACTTCTGTTTAAATGCATACATAGCTAAGGCCCAAAGTTTCAAATTTGTATTTCAGAAACAAGACATGTACTAAGTGCATTTAGATATCAATATGCTCAACTGTAAGCCTAGAGCCAAAACTCTCCAGTTTACAGCTAAACTTATTTAGCTGTATACCCGTAAACTTGCCTTGACTGAGGCTTTGCTCCTCTGCTTAGGAATGTGTACTGTAAGGGCACAGCTGCATTAAATGTTTTAGCTTGGATCAGTAAAGGCTGGAATGAATCTGTGGATCTTCTCCTGCTAGCCTGCTTTGGTTCACACAGCAGAACAGAGTGGGACCATGCAATCAGGATTTCTTGTGGAAGAAACCAAGCCAGGAGACATACTCTAAGGGACCACCTAATGCTTTCCAGCTGCCATTGCGCATTCAGTTCACGGGACCACACTTGAGGTACATACAGCACAATTATTTGCTGATTAAAAGTAAATAGGCAAGTCTTGGCAGTCAAAGAAGAGAAGTGCGTTGGCCTACTTTTCACAAAAGAAGTGATTTTAGTGTAGTACACATACCAATTTGTTTTAAACAATTGCATGCTCTGAATTAACAGGGTTAAAAATCTGCTTTGGCAGCAGCTTGCTGAATTTAATTGTTTCTGAGGCAAGAACGATGAATGGGACTATTTCTAGAAGTGGTTGCCAAAGGTAGTTTTTGTAATAGGCCAGCACTGTCCAACTGGCAGTGTCAGGACAGCTTTGCCTGGCCTGGTGCCTTTGTGCCTGAGGAGCAGGTGGCTTTGTGAGCCACGCGTGGAGCTCCTGCCCGCTGCTGTGCCGCCCCGCAGGACAGGCAGCACTGCACCAACCCTGTGCTGGCCAGAGCTGGGCTGTCCCTGTCTGGAGCCCCGCAGGACAGGCAGCACTGCACCAACCCTGTGCTGCCCAGAGCTGGGCTGTCCCCGTGTGGAACCTGGCCGCTCCAGCTGCTGCTCGTGCAGCTGGAATTTCTACACAGGTGCAATGGAACAAAATAGCTGCTGATGATCCAGATGACATAAGGATGAATACCCCAAGAGAAAACCTTGCATTGAGATCTGAATCCCCGAATTAAGTTGTAGCAATGTCACAAACAATTTTTAAAATATAGTAAGTGCAAGGTGATGCATCTCGTTGCATAGTAGGAGATTTTCACTACCAAGTGAGAGGCTATGGGATCTTACACCAGTGCCACAATTGGTCTTGTCCTTGGTCTTGTATAACATTTCTGTGCTTTATGTTTGCCTATGTTTAAAGCAACCTGCTTACTCTAAGCTATTTTTCCAGATAAAGGAGTTAATGCAACAAAAAATTGCATAATGTCAGTAGGTGCCTCTGTGCTGCTGAAGGCATGTTTATGGTATGTGAGGAGTGAAGCTATGTGTGGTTAAAAATGGAAGGATGGTAAAGCACTTCCCTTTTTCTGAAGTACCAGTTGCATTTTTTGCTAATGCTCTCTGTCTCACATTCTGCTGTGTTTCTGTAGTACTATAAAAACAAATGTTTTACAGTTTTTCAAACAATTTGAGGATGGAGAAAGCAATAACAAGCACTACATGGTTTGTACTAAATTACCATATTTTCTGGAGCTACCCCTGCTGCAGAGGAATGATAGAAAGGCTGTACACAGCCTATCTTGTCTGGGATTGGAATCACTCACTCCCACTGATACCAAGCTCAGCCTTGCATAGGTCACTGCCTCACAAAGTCAGACCATATTGTATAAGTGTAAAACCAGGTGCTTTTGATTGTGATATGGGGCCACACGTAATAGAAGCATCTTTCTGCCTATTAAATGGGATGACAGAAATTGTTCCAGGTCTCTCCAACCATCTGGCTCTCAAGTCTAATTTACAGCAAAGGTAGATTGCATGGCTCTCTGGAAAGAGATGTTTTCCAATTCTGAATCTGGTTTCTTGATTTAAGTAACTTTTTAAAAGTGATGCTAGTTTGCTTTTATAACATATCAATCAGCTTTCAGGCATATAGCTATTCTCCATGGCCTGTAACACATGTGAAAATACTGTTTAATTGGGAAATATGTTGTGTTTTTATCCCCATGCTAA